CTGTAATATTGCTATGGCGGCGTAAAATCCGACTCACTTAAACTCTCATAAATCACTGTGCCATTGCTAACCAAGGTTCTGCAGATGGCACCGGAGTATGTCAAGATTCAACTCTCGGTTGGTCTTCTTCCATTATATCTCACTAGGTGGCGCTACTGGCTTCGCTATGTCGTTCATTCATCCACAGGGCTGTGTACATGAATGGCGGCACTTTGTTAAAGCGGTTGTCAAGTAGGAGTTTATGACGTTAAACCCAATTTCACCTCACCCTCACCTCTGTGACAACACGTACAAAAGAAAGTCTTTGTACAGGAGATGCAATGGGCTATTCATGGCATATCACAGGCTTTTACGGATTGTGAACCGGCCTCGCGATATCTGAATGAATGGCGTGACAACATTCAAGAAGTACGTTAACGGTTATGTGAAAGGGAGTAGTGCACTTTACCGGGCGCACTTCTTCAGAAACAATTAGCGCTGTGGGGGCACGAACGCGCTTCGCCGGCTCGCCGACGCTCTACCACTAGACCACAGGCGCTACCACATGTAATAAGTGCTCGTTTAACAGGTCATTAGAATCCCCATTGACATGCATGCGTAATTCAGTAAACAATGAATTGCGCATGCGTGTGACGTCACTGCCCGCTCTCCCATTCATCTTTTCTTGAAACCACACCCGCAATTGTTTATGTCAACATGAGGCCGACCAATGGGATTAACTGGATTAACGCTTGAAAAGGTAAGAATTTATGGCTAACCCTTGCGACAAAGCCAGCTGACCCTAATGACCGAAAAGGGGTTTTGGATCGCAAAGACAAATTTAGTGACTGGTGGCCGTGTCGCACACACGAATTGTTATTAAATGTATCCTCGAGAGTCAGTAGGAAACTAGAAATAACTGCCTTTGTTCTGTAAATCTCACCAAGTTTCAGCTTTCGCCTCTTCCTTTGTGGAAAGAGGTTTCACATTTGTAAAATGATCTCTGTTATCTGTCTGTACCATCAACTTAACTGCCCTCACCCCCTTCAGTTTTCCCGTCCCATATTGCCAAGCAGGTGACCCACAAGGACTCATGAGTTATACTGTGCCTACGACAATAAGTTGTGTATACGTAGCCTTGCTGTGGCCAAACATTTTGTAACAATTTGGCAAACTTTGATATGTAAACAGCACATATAATTCAGTTTTATTTCATCTTAACATATCAGTTGAATCCCACTTGACCTTTGAAGATCCGGTTAAGAATAGATTTACAGCAACCCATGCTTGCCGTTATAGGCGACTATGCTTGTCGTAAGAGGCGACTAAAGGGATCGGGTGGTCAGGCTCGCCGACTTGGTTGATGCATGTCATCGTATCTCAATTGCTTGGATCGGTGGTCGTGATATCAATCACTGGATTGTCTGGTCCAGACTCGATTATTTACAGACAACCGTCATATAACTGGAATATTGCTACGTGCGGCGTTACACAAAGAACAACAAAAACGGAAAAACGGATCCTACTTATTTTGTGGATACCATAACAATAAATCAAACCAATAGATCGTTTGAGCTTGCTAAATATAAAAAAATAGTCGATAGTCATATTTCCCTCTGTTGGTCCCACGTGAAATGTTCTTCATGAATACTGTCAATCATGAAATTAACGCAATAATAAGTCAGCACATTAATGCGAGTATAGAAGAACCCTCAAATGCGTCATGACATTTATGAGAGTAGCCTTGAAAAAATCACTGTAGTCATAAAAACGATTTTTAATACATACAGAGGAAATGCTTAGCATTTATCTTTTAAGGAAGAATGTGAACTTGCTTAATACTTATATATGTGGACATATATGTATGTACATTTGGATGAATATAGATATACCTCCTTATAGATAGTGATCGTAGATGATTGTAGAACGTGCACGAAGAAAATGGAATAATTATGTGAGTAATCGGGTAAATACCACGTTTAGCAATATTCAGCCATATTGCGATATTGGTTTCCAACATACAAGACGGACTATGAAATTATGACTTGAATTTGGACCTGGCTTTCTGGTGTTATGTAACACCCCATAATCTAATGTAGAAAAAGAGCTTAAAGCACGAACAAAGATCACGAGATGTTACTGATGTACACATCTTGACATATATTTGCGTAGTATATTACTACGTTAATTCATCAGCATATATGTATTTTGCATAAAAGGATATTATAGGATCGACGCTGACATGCGCATACCACCTATTCACCAGTGCTGTAATATTTAATTCATTTTTTTACACATATCGACACGAGAAACTATATCTAAATTTAAAAGGAGCTCAAGTGGGATGGAAATTTCAGCCTGAACCTGTTGAACATCTAGGCTTGTTTCATTTTGGGCTATAGCATTGCCGTAAGGCCTGGGCGGAAGGGAACACCTGTTTGCACCCATCAGATACCAATCACAACTTCTCTCTCCAAACGAAAACAAAATACGAAAAATGTCGGAAGTGTATCCTTCCAATTTTCTATTTAGATACATGTTATAACTTTAAAGTAATTATATGGATCTCATGTATTATTGGTATCTGTGATGCTGGTACCGTTTTGTCGCCATTGTGTAGCTTTTGTGGATTTATTATGAATATCAAATACATGTCTTGAAATATGGACTTGTAAAAGAGTTAATCAAAGAACCATATGCAGCCATTTAATTGGCGTGTATGGATATAATATCCATTTACTTATACACACTTATTATGGACATATACAAAACTTCATTGTACCTTATTATCAAAAACATTACCCGTGAAGATCCGGGTTAGAATAGGCCTTCAACAACCCATGCTTGTTCGAAGGCGACTAACATGATCGGGTGGTTAGGCTCGCTGACTTGGTTGATGCATGTCATCGTATCCCAATTGCGTAGATCGGTGCTCTTGGTGAGGATAACTGGATTGTCTGGTCCAGACTGGATTATTTACGAACCACCGTCATATAGCTGGTATATTGCTGAGTGCGGCGTTAAACAACAAACAAACAAAATCTATTATTAAACACCTTCCAACAATGAGAAATTAAACTTATATTTCTATATATTCTGTTATATTTATAACATAATTTGATTCATAATTTTATTATTGCGTTGCTTTCTTCCCTGTCATTCAATGTACATGTTCAACTCCCTAAACTTTTAATATTTCATTTTTCACAAATGGCTACGTTAATGAGTTGCCTAGATCTCTCGTTACCTACTCACACGAACAGATTAAAATAATTTGTTTTACTATCATATTTCTGTTTATCTAATTCATAATACGAAATTGATAATTCATTTATCACAGTATAGATCATATTCGTTTATATCACTATCTGAGGCTAAGGTTTTATTGCAGAAATTTTAATTAATTCAAAATGTAGAAAGATACACAATTTGCCATTATTTGACTTTTAAACTGTACAAAGTATAATATAATGATCAGAATGCCTGTAACGGGTAGTATTTAAGAAAGAAATATTTGTCGATAAGTCCCATTTTTCAGATATGCCCTTCAGTAGTATTATTGTATATCTCCAAAGAGAGGTTTACATTGAAGTTATCATTTTTTGTGGATAATTCAAAAAGCAACATAGAATATATATATGCTACCATGACGAAAGAATACAGAGTATACATAACTCGCAATTATCCAAAAGAGATTTCAAATCACAATAACATATCTGATATAAAGAGAGGTGGTAATGATTTAATCTCTACATTGTGCCCTTGTTCGTGAGCCCTTGTTCTATTCAGCAAACAGCCCCAAACCGAAACTCCACAACATATCCGATTACACTGATTCAGGCTGTCCCAGTTCTCCATGCGATACTGACGCCCGTTTGCTCCCAGACCATAGAGAACAAATTTAAAAGGAATCCAGCTCAAGTCTAGAACGATTTGGCAAGCCTAGATTGCCTCAGTTCTATCCATGAAAGAAAGCATTAATAAAAAAATATTGTTCTTGTCTGCTTCAGATTATATTTTGTAGAGACATATTTTTAACTAGGAAAATTGTACTGACACCGGCGCTGTCCCTATTGAAGCTATTTATAAGAATTTCGAATTGTCGTCCATTGTTCGATGTCAATACATCGATGTCAAGTGAGGATATCATAAAGTAATCGTTGATGCCGCGCTACACTATAATAAAAATTATAATCAAGTTGACTGGTGTGTACATTACTACAATGAATATGTACATGATCATGCCCTAATAATCAAATGCCGTAATGTCAAATACTAATATATTATTGTGTGATGAATTTAACTGGATCAGTGGTAACATGTGATATTAATATTCCATCAATTTCTCTCCTGGTTGGTCAATCCATGTCTACAAAATGAACATAATACAATTAAAATGGAGCCTAGACCAATTCTTAATTTCAGGCTAGGGCTGTGGAAATCTAGACTTTGCCAATCGTTATAGATTTGAGTTGGTCTCATTTTTTACATTATTCTCTTGGGTCAACGCCACAGCTCATACCATACACTAACAAGACCAGATTGCCCCCCGCCGGAGCTCCTGGATTTTGGTTATATCATCTAACATGGCCAACTCTTAAGTAAACAAGAACCTAATCAGCGAGGAGTCCTTTATCATCCCTATGTGACTGCTTATAAAAAATCTGATATCTCTTCCCAAAGACCTGGTTAATAATATATTTTCTGCTGATTATTCGAAACAGAGTGAGTGAGTTGGTACTACATATGTTTACGGTTCTATTTGAAATGACCGCAGCGCTCCATTATGAAAACAAATTCTCAGCAGTATTCCAGTGATATATGACGGCGGTCTTACATTTCCGCTAATAAGTATCACATGCAGTATACAGTATATCAAGTGCAATATACTGTATACAACATTCAGTATACAGTGTGTCGCGAGCTCTGCGCTGGGCTGGAGCACACATTCCCTACCCCTCTCCCTTCGGCAAACACCTCATGAGGGTTGCAACGAGGTCACAGGTCAGGCGTGCCCTCGTCAGTTGTCTAATGCGGTCAAGAGTAAGATCTTCCGGAAGACCACTGCACTAGAGGTATGTGGATTGTTGATGAGGTACTACGTGTTTGGAACTGGGAGTCGAACACTAAGCACTTTTAGAGAAGAGCTCACAATAAAACTTATGGACTCGCGGACGGACTTGTGTTTTCAAGACTTACATGTATCAGGTTGAACTTCTTGTTCTTGTTGTTAAATGTAAATGTATGTTCATAACGTGACATGGTTTTGATTTCAATACTCAAATATCTGTTATGAAACCTCCACTATATATCTAAATGTTCACAAGGCCTTACGTCTCAGATTTGCCATCTATCTGTTTGAATAAACGTCTTACACTAGACAGAGAGTCATGATATTGTCGTGTGAGCTGTGCCACGGTTAAATGTGTTTAGACTTTTATCCCAGGATGACCTAGTGTACATATATGTGTGTGTGTGTGTGTATATATATATATATATATATATATATATATATATATATATATATATATATATATATATATATATATATATATATATATCTGTTTTTGAATACCCTCAATAAAGAAGGGAAAGCCATACACAATAAGATTAACTTCTTTTGTTCTGAGGTGTGTGACGAGCACGAAATCGACATCAAGCTTCCCGGGAAAACTTTTCTTACCTCCCGGTAAAATGCCAAGAAAGGTTGCATTAACCTGATCCATTCAGGGTGTTTTCCACAACACAAAATTCTAAACAAGCAATTGTTGATCCGTCACGATTGACTGAATTTTGTATAAATTCCCATATCATTGTTACCATAGAGCTGTGTTTTCAAGCAAATGTGAATTCTTTTGTTAAAATAAAAGCCGTTTCCAAACCACACCTAGCCTTTTCTATTCTGCCAACCTCTGAATGCAAATATGAAATCTTAATAATAGTGCTACTGACGTTATAATCACAATATAACTTGAAGCATTTATCAAATCATAAAACACTTTGGACTGAATAAACATGATCATACATGAAGGTCGTGAGAAACCTTCCTTTGACACACCCTGGTTTGTCTTGGCATTGTAACTATGTTAATGGCGTGATTTCCCACTTGAACACACGCAGCAGGGGCTCCCCGGCAGACATCCATATATGAATATGTTGGGTTACACAGTAAATGTTCCTGTGTTCGGATATTGGTACCTTGTTCGTTTGACCAAAGTGCTCTGGGCTGCCGTTCTATGATGTACCCCAACCGTTGTCCCAGCCTGACCTCAATATTTCAAAATCTGAGAATCAAACCTCGTTATGAAAAAAACAACAACGCTATATTAAATTTTAGTACCTGGTGAGATGAAATCTAGTTCGAACTTATGCCGGTTTTCTAGTGGTAGCCCACTGAGATACCATGCCGCATTTTATATGGATATTCCACTCAGACACAGTGTGCGGACTCAGAGCCAACCAGTCCTGGTTTTATCCCCTCTAATGCCGAACTCCAAGCATGGTAACAAGTACCAAGTGTAAACGTAGTTTGGAATATCGCGGCGGGCATCGAAACGCCTTTAGTACACCAGGTGCGATATATAAACCATATGTTATAAATAGGTACAAGGGCGGCTCCCGTAGGGGCAAAACTCGATGAGTGCAACGGGATTATTGGACATGATTTTCATTTTTTGAAGAATAGATACTTGAGTATTATCGCCAAGATCGTTTCGTGTATGTGGTAGTTTCAAGTAAAATGTGCACAATGGACAACTGGATAAACTCGCTTTCTTAGGAAACAGTCACAATCCATTGAATAAGCCTATAACAAGCACTGATGCCGCCTCATATGAAAAGATCCTGCCATGAATTAGTCTCTTGCAGACCATTCAGTCCATTCCACTATCATCCCCTTATCAGTTCTAGCAGCCTATGTTCAAAGCGGCGTTAAACCCTCACTCACTCACCCTAGCGGCCTGTAATCATCCCATTTTTGGTTGAAGGCAGAAATTTAAAGGCTTTATGGTTCCTTTATAGAATTAATTTTATCGAGCCTTATCCATAACTTTATTTAGTGGACAATATTTTAGTCAAATCATGAGGTACATAATGAGCCCCACCCGTGAAGATCCGGGGTAAAATTGGTCTTTAGCAACCCATGCTTGTCGTAAGAGGCGACTAACTGGATCGGGGGATTAGGCTCGCTGACCTGGTTGATGCATGTCATCGTATCGCAATTGCGTGGATCGATACTCATGATATCAGTCACTATATTGTCTGGTCCACTCGTTTGTTTACAGACAGCCGTCATATAGCTGGAATAGTGTTGAGTGCGGCGTTAAACAACAAACAAACAAACAAACAACATAATATGCCCGCGAACGTTGTTCATACGCTGAGCTCTATTTCTGAATATATCGCCCGAACACAACATGTGCTAGAATCACAATGGCGTCTGCGGGGGCACACAAGGAACAGTCTGATAGCAGTCGAACATGCAGCATATGCATCGAACAGTTCAAGGCGCCTAAGCTGCTGCCATGTTTCCATACATTCTGTCAGCATTGTTTAGAACAATACACGTCGGGAACGGCAAGAAATGATGAGTTTTCTTGCCCCGTGTGTCGCTACAAAGTCACTCTTCCGGATTCAGGAGTAAACGGGTTTCAAACTAATTTCTACATCGAGGCTGATCAGTTGCAGAAGGCCAGCAAGGATGCAGTTTGCGACGTCTGTTCCAAGACTGCAGTCAACAGGTGTCGCCAGTGTGAGCAGACATTATGTGATGTTTGCACTAGTGTTCACAACTCGCTCAGTATGACTCGGAAGCACTCGCTCATTCGTCTAAAAAAGACCTCCAGAGACTACCCGGCGATTTCTAAGCCCGAGTTCTGTTCTAAGCACAATGGGGAACGTTTCCGATTTCACTGTACGAGGTGTGAGCAGGCTATTTGTCGTGACTGTAAGCTGACGGCACACGAGGGACACAGAACTGTCGATTTGGAAGATGTGATAGAACAGGGACGCAGTGACCTGGCAAAAGTGAAAGTAGAACTAGACGCGTGTATGACTGCGTTCGAGCGAAAGCTTAAACAATTATCAGACAGTAAAGAGAAATTTTCTATAACAGCAGGTACGATCGAACAGAAAATTAATACTGCCGCGGACCAGATGATTGAAAAGATAAATTCTCTCCGCAAAGAGAAGTTAAAAGAAATTGAAGGAATAAGGGCAACAGAGTTTTCCTATTTAGACAGAGCTGAAACGACGACTATACAGGACAAGCTGTTCCTAGGAAGCCATATTGATCACGTATCCAGACTGTTGGAAGATGGTTGCGGTGCAGATATCTTGAACACACTTCCAGAAATGAGACGGAGGTTAAAAGATATGAAGGACCCCTCTGACAGCAGTGATGGAACAAATGTTGAAAAAATGAACAATCCGATGCTGTTATCAGTGTCCAGAAGTAAGAGAATCCTCAAAAGCTCAGAAATGCTTCAGATTTTAATGAAAGTTCCCGTACCCGAAATCTTATCACCAAATTTCGAATTTCAATGTCTGGTTGCAAAGGGAACTATCGACTTCATATGCCCTACGGGACACAATCAGGCATGGGTCGCCATTCGCGGCACCGTTGGAAGATGTTCACTGATCCTATTTAATCAAAGTGGAGCTGCAGTCAAGAGGTTTGAAATACACCAGGACCGTTATGAAGCTGCTCGGACAAGGGGGATCTTAAGTATGATGCACGTTCCTATTGGTGACGAAAATGTTAAATCTGAGGAAATCTCTGCGCTCATGGGGGATATCAAGCTCAAACAGAGCCCTCTGAAGGATATGAAGAATGGTAATGCATGTGAAGTATATACCATGAAAGGAACTGTCACTGTGTCAACTTCAAGAGAGATTGAGTACGAGTTGTCCCCTGTTCCTCTGGTCAGCGCAAAATCCGTATTTTCTCCCGTGGATGTCTGTTGGGGCCCTGGCGGCGAGATTGTTATTGCTGACAAGGGAAGCAACTCTCTGTTGGTATTTAGGGATAGTGATTCTAAATTAAGATCTTACGAAATGCCACAAGAAGGGACTTTTAGTCCATGCGCTGTCGCCTTTGGAGCAGATGGGAAATTGTGGATAGGGACTGTGTCGGGGACAGTGTTTATTTTGGGCAGACTTGAAGTTTAGAAAGCACAAATACATAATTATCTCAACTATTAACTGAATAGCTACCAAAGCTACTTGGGCATCACAATGTTGTGAACCCTGGCTTGCTCTGTTGAACCCTTGCATATGTGTTATCCTGCAGACAGCATGCATAGATGTTATCCTGCAGACAGCTTGCATGGATGTTATCCTGTAGAAAGTTTGCATGGGTGTTATCCTGCAGACAGCTTGCATGGATGTTACCTGTTGACAACTTGCATGGATGTCACCTGTAGACAGCTTGCATGGATGTTGTACTGTAGACAACTTGCATGGATGTTATACTGTAGACAACTTCTATGGATGTTTTCCTTGTAGACAGCTTGCATGGATGTTATACTGTAGACAACTTGCATGGATGTTATACTGTAGACAACTTCTATGGATGTTTTGCTTGTAGACAGCTTACATGGATCTTATACTGTTGACAACTTTCATGGATGTCACCTGTTGACAGCTTGCATGGATGTCACCTGTAGACAGCTTGCATGGATGTCACCTGTTGACAACATGCATGGATGTTACCTGTAGACAGCTTGCATGGATGTCACCTGTAGACAACTTTCATGGATGTCACCTGTAGACAGCTTGCATGGATGTTACCTGGAGCAGATGGGAAATTGTGGATAGGGACTGTGTCGGGGACAGTGTTTATTTTGGGCAGACTTGAAGTTTAGAAAGAACAAATACATAATTATCTCAACTATTAACTGAATAGCTACCAAAGCTACTTGGGCATCACAATGTTGTGAACCCTGGGTTGCTCTGTTGAACCCTTGCATATGTGTTATCCTGCAGACAGCATGCATAGATGTTATCCTGCAGACAGCTTGCATGGATGTTTTCCTGTAGAAAGTTTGCATGGATGTTACCTGTTGACAACATGCATGGATGTCACCTGTAGACAACTTGCATGGATGTTACCTGTTGACAACATGCATGGATGTCGCCTGTAGACAACTTGCATGGATGTCACCTGAAGACAACTTGCATGGATGTTACCTGTAGACAACTTGCATGGATGTCACCTGTAGACAGCTTGCATGGATGTTACCTGTTGACAACTTGCATGGATGTCACCTGTAGACAGCTTGCATGGATGTTACCTGTTGACAACTTGCATGGATGTCACCTGTAGACAGCTTGCATAGATGTTATACTGTAGACAACTTCTATGGATGTTTTCCTTGTAGACAGCTTACATGGATCTTATACTGTAGACAACTTTCATGTATGTCACCTGTTGACAACTTGCATGGATGTCACCTGTAGACAGCTTGCATGGATGTTACCTGTTGACAACATGCATGGATGTCACCTGTAGACAACTTGCATGGATGTTACCTGTTGACAACTTGCATGGATGTCACCTGTAGACAGCTTGCATGGATCTCACCTGTAGACAGCTTGCATGGATGTTATACTGTTGACAACTTGCATGGATGTCACCTGTTGACAACTTTCATGGATATCACCTGTTGACAACTTTCATGGATGTCACCTTTTGACAACTTTCATGGATATCACCTGTTGACAACTTTCATGGATGTCACCTGTTGACAACTTGCATGGATGTCACCTGTTGACAACTTGCATGGATGTCACCTGTTGACAACTTGCATGGATGTCACCTGTTGAGAACTTGCATGGATGTCACCTGTTGATAACTTGCATGTAATCCAACAAGTGGATAATTTGTGAAACCTATTCTTGCCTTCCTACACTCATCAATCATGATCACAATCGCATGGTGGTAAATACTTACGCTACTGATATCTCATCAGCTATGTTAATGGTCGCGGAAATGTTCTCAAATTGTATTATACGTAAAATAAAAAAATGATTATCAAGAGGAAATGTCTGTTTTTTTAAGATTTCAGAAACTGGTATTGTACATCGAACGGGAAATTGTATATTGGTCAATCATAGCGTGTTCATGGGTTTTAAAGGGATGCTATTTGGGGAAGAATGAAGTATTCATTTCTATCATAAGAAAGTGGAGAGTCAATGGTTAAGAAGGACCAGTTCCGGTTCAGCCCTATATCAGTGCTGGTGGATTTCATGTCAAAGTGATAAACATCTAAGACCTGAATCAGATTCAGCTTTCCTCCAGGCCCCGCGATTCGCTGAGCAGAGTTGCGTCCCTTGGGCACGCCAGAAATCTATGATTGTGGGCTCAAATCCCGGTTCGCCACGATTATGTTTCAAGGTTTGTCAGCACCATACCCGTGCTCGTGGGTTTCGCCGTAGTGGTAAACGTCTTAGACCTGCATCACTTCGGTCTTTCCTCCCACATTAAGCTGACACGCCGTGATATAACTGGAATACTGGAATTCAACTACAATATTTCTCAATTCAGTTGGTCGAAATGTCGCCTTGTTTCGCTCTGGTTAAGTCTGTGACGATGTTATGTTTGTGTGATGTTGGAGCCGCACTCAGCAATATTCCAGCTATATGGTGGCAGTCTGTATATAATCGAGTCTGGACCAGACAATCCATAGATTGACATCATGAGCATCGATCTACGCAAATGAGATACGATGACATGCATCAACCAAGTCAGCGACCCGGACCACCCGATCCCGTTAGTCGTCTCTTTCGACAAGTTGCTGAAGACCAATTCTAACGCGGATCTTCACAGGTGACGAGACGACGTCCCTTCTAGTACTCCATACACACATTTTATGAGTGCGTGAATGACCTGATCTATGAATAAACTAATACAAGTTATTATCTTTACTTAAAACACGATTACTTCCATTATGTTTCTTAACCGCCAAATGCGTTTCAATAAAGGCGCATTACGCCCCGTATTAAAAACAACAACTCTCGTCATTTGGTATGGCAAATTTGATAACTGTGATGTGTCAGTTTACACCTTCAATCACATACGACAATATGTGGCATGGGCGAATGAATTATTCCGTAAATCAATAATCTAGGATCGATGGATGCATCTACCGACAGTGCCTAAATTCTCTTTGTATTTGAAACGCACAAAATGCTCATTCTGACACACGATCCATATTAGCCGTGGTTTTGTTCAGCTTGCAATAAGACGTGGTACATGGGTTCGTATCTCAGATTCGCCCTGAGAACATTTGTAGGCTTGTCAGCATCATAACGGGCTAACTTGTGATAGATGTAACTGAAATACTGTTCAAAGCGGTTTTAAACAAAACTCACACACTCATATTTTAGTTCATCTGAGCTTATGTCGTTGTCTGCTTGTTGTTCCTCCATCGTCGCCTGTAAACAGTGGACAAGTGTAACTTAGCTTGCTATATTTGTTCCACCAATTATAACACCTTGATTCGTTAACGACGGCCATATTTAAAACTCAACACATGGCCATAACCAATATATGTTCCCAAGCGTAATGAAATTTGGATAGCAGTTGTTAGCAGTGAGCCGTAACATAATTCGTATTCGGAGACAAATTGCTCGATAAAGCTTTGGATATTTAAACATACTTCCACTTGGGATATGAACTTGATATAAACAGGAAACGACTTTTGTGTCCAGGGTCATAAATCGACCGTAGCGCTAAGGTGGTCGTAAGTCCCATGCATTAACATAGACTTACGATAGTTGTAGCGCCAAGGTGGTCGTAAGTCCCATGCATTAACATAGACTTACGACAGTTGTAGCGCCAAGGTGGTCGTAAGTCCCATGCATTAACATAGACTTACGACAGTTGTAGCGCAAAGGTGGTCGCTAGTTACATACATTAACATAGACTTACGATAGTTGTAGCGCTAAGGTGGTTGTAAGGTTGTAAGTTACGTACATTAACATAGACTTGCGATAGTAGTATATGTTATACGAAATGTTTGGCTTCAAACTTTGAAGACATGTAAAGACTCGAACCCGGGGCTTCGGCGTGACGATAGAACAATTTAACCCCTGTGCTACCCAACCGTTCCCCCCGTGTGGAATTGAACCCTTCGGCCGTGAGCAGTCCGCGACTAGTTTATACATTATACAAGTACAAACATTCAGCTTTTTAAAATCGTTCATATGGTGAAAATATAACAAAAATACAATAGAATTAGTACATCGTTTATTCATATACAGTACTAGATTGTACAGTGTCCGTGAACAAGTATTTTAACCAGAATAGTGAATGTTGGAGACACTAATGGAATTTCTGTTTTGAGCTTTAGTTCATATTTTTATTTTATTGCATATTTTTTGTACGATTTATTGCATCCTTGAAATGATATAAATATCTGAGAAAAAAGGGAGGGACAAATACATTTTATGACGTTTCATATTTCGTTCTCAAACCATGCAATAGCTTCTCTTGTAACAAAACAAAACATATAGAGAATCTCACCCGAGTGTCTTTTGATATCAAATATATCAACACGAGTTGATAAAAGTGGAAAAATTCCGAGGCTTGCGAGGATTTTTGTCACTTTTATCAACGAGTGTTGATATATTTGATATCAAAAGACACGAGGGTGAGATTTTATTTATCATCCAACATCATTCTTTCAACTTTTTCAATTTGTAGACAGTAATTAGCAGTTGCTTCAGTGTAAAAAGTACTGAAAACAGCTTCAGTAGCAGAGCCATTAGTGATGTCATTTGATTGTGACGTCATTGTAACCAGTGACGTCACAATGGTCTACAAAGCATTGTGATGTAATTTCATTGCAGCGATATCTACAGTGTAGATATATAGAATACTAAACGAGCTCCCGTGTAATACCAATTTTATGAAACGAGTGAATAGTTCTGGTATCTGACGAGCGAAAGCGAGTCAGATACCACAACTATTCACGAGTTTCATAAAATTGGTTTTACACGAGAGCGAGTTTAGTATTTTATTTATTACTTGTCATTTATAATGTTTTTTAGAATTATACTGTTCAGTGTAAATAGGCTGACGCCTACACGATCCATGGCATAATCCAATTGAGTTTAACAGAATAATACTTCAAACACGTCAAAAGTTGAAACGTATGAATTTAATATCATATATTATATAATGGTCCACCTTTAGAATTCAGGCGTTCGTCCCACAAAATTATCGTAGTGCTAAGGCTATCACAACTCACATAATTTAACTTAGACTAAAGACTCTCGTTGCGCTAGAGTACGATCGCCTTGTGGAACGGGGCCTTGCAGCTCAAAGTTTACAATGACGTCACAATACCCGATGACGTAATTTGTGGAATTTTGTTGCAAGATCCATCGGCGAGTCAAAGCAATGTGACGTCAGCCTAGCAACAAGGTTGCTGGGGTCATCGAGTGTGCATAAGCTCCTCCCAGTGATCTATCATCTCCACACACAATGTCGTTGAATACGCCAAGGGATGTTGGGAGCTTTCAATATTTGTTCGTGAAACGTGTTCCGAGAGTACATAAGCACGCGTTTTGGTATTACACAATGTGTAATAAAGCTGAATGTTTATTAAACGGGTGATCTCTTCACGGGCAAGTAATAAATATAGAATACTAAACGAGCTTCCGTGTAATACCAATTTTATGAAACGAGTGAATGGTTCTGGTATTTGACGAGCGAAAGCGAGTCAGATACCAGAACTATTCACGAGTTTCATAAAATTGGTTTTACACGGGAGCGAGTTTAGTATTTTATTTATTACTTGTCATTTATAATGTTTTTAGAATTATATTGTTGAGTGTAAATAGGCTGCCACCTACACGATCCATGGCATAATCCAACTGAGTTTAACAGAATAATACTTCAAACACGTCAAAAGTTGAAACGTATGAATTTAATATCATACAATGGTCCACCTTTAGAATTCAGGCGTCCGTCCCACAAAATTATTGTAGCGCTAAGGCTATCGCAACTCACATAATTTAACTTAGACTAACGACTGTCGTTGCGCTACAGTACGATCACCTTGTGGAACGGGGCCTTGCAGCTCAAAGTTTACAATCACGTCACAATACCCGATGACGTAATTTGTGGAATTTTGTTGCAAGATCCATCGGCGAAACAATGCCATGTGACGTCAGGCTAGCAACAAGGTTGCTGGGGTCATCGAGTGTGCATAAGCTCCTCCCAGTGATATATCATCTCCACACACAATGTTGTTGAATAAGCCAAGAGATGTTGAGAGCTTTCAATATTTGTTCGTGAAACGTGTTCCGAGAGTACATAAGCACGCATTTTGGTATTACACAATGTGTAATACAGCTGAATGTTTATTAAACGGGTGATCTTTTCACGGGCAAGTAATAAATCGCTTGATCTCATCCAAGCGATATCTCCTGTGGGAGCCAGTTTTGGATGATAAATTTCTTTTATCTACTAAGATCGTGAAACAAAAGGTCTCCACAATCTCACGATTGTCGTAAGAATCAGCAGAAATAGGGATCGGATGGTCATGCTTGATGATGTGGCGGCTGGTGTGTCATCGTACCCGTTTGTGTGGATCGTTGAGCAAGCTATCAACCACTGTTTTTTCTTACCCAGACTCGATTAATTACAGGCGGTCGTGATAAGAATAATGTCGATTGCGCCGTTAAAAACACATTCATTCTAATCACTCCCGAGTTCCATCTACTAAACTGAATATGCGCTAAAGGATCATCTTCCCGAGGCAAGAGAGTTAACTGACTATAAAAGTACAGTTTCCACCCTTGCCGAACTATGCATAGTCCAATCAAAATCGCGCACCGAAATCGAATCCGGTTCGTAAACCGTCGTGCAGATTTCGGTCGATTGCAGGATTTGCAAAGCATGTGCACCTCCAACTCGTTGTCAGCAGATATTTGCCAAATCTTTTTTATGTTTTTAATCAAGGTGCTCGCGTGATTTGATGCATTTCGCGATGTAAGACCCGTTTTATCACAATATAGATCTTGATTATCGATCAGATCGTCCTGACTGGGCGCCACCATTTTGTGTGAAGCAAACGCAAGTGATGCGAGAGGTGGAATCTGATTGGTCCATAGGAGAGGCTTAGAAGGGACATAGCTGGTAATAGCCACTGGTGGCGCTACGATCGAGCCCAGTAATTCCAGCCTAGTTCGGCAAGCGTGGAAACTGGACTTTTAAAGTCCGTTAACTCTCTTGCCTCGGGAAGATGTAAAGGATGAGTAAGTACACTTTTAACAAAATATAATTCTTTTCTTTCCAGGCAAACATGTGGACATATCAGCATCGCCCAAAGGTGATGCTAGTAGCGATTGTTCCAGTTCTTGTACTGACGCTCTTTTTCATACAGTATCAACCCAGTATCGTATGTCAAAATTGCCAGTATGCACCGATTGGTCACATCCAGTCTGGTGAAGGGACAGATGTTCTCAAGTGTATGACCATAGGTCACTGGAAGACCAGACCATTGTCCAACGAGGAGAAGAAAAAGATGTACGATTTTCGTGAGAGTAATCACGCTCGGTTCGCCTTCCCCCCGAACTTTCAACGCAAAGATGGCCGCTGCGGAAACTTGACGTATGAAAACGTCATCTATTTCCGAGCGTTATGTAACCCGCGAGGAAAAACTCCCTGCTGTTTTCACAATTCCTGCCAAATGAAACCAGAAAAGGAGTGTGTTTGTGAAGACTGCTATGATCTAAGACAAGAGAAGTATGCTGAATTTTCCTCGTGGGTTCCGTCAGATTCCCGATGTTCGTATCGTGAGTTCTCGCGAGAAGATGCATGTCAACTTCTCAAAGGAAGTACGCTGCATTTTGTTGGCGATTCCCTGGTCCGTCACATCTACACTGCAATGTTACTGGTTCTTACAGGGGATTATGACTATGGGGCGCTTGTATCAAGCGCATCCGATGGTAAGTAAGGAGGAGGAATGCTGTGTTGAAATGTCCAAGTGCATTTGGTGTCATGGAACTGTCTAATGTTTCTCCTTCGTCATCAGTGTTTACGGCATCAAACTCATGTACCATATTTCCTCTATTAGACGACGAACTCCAATACACGCCGGCCTCTAATAGACGCCGGATCAACGTTTTGCGCGAAAGGACGAGACACCAGGGCGTCTAATAGAGGAAATACGGTATATACTTAAATCGCTTTAAATACTAAATATGCACGTTTGTTTTGTTTTCTCAGTTCGTGCTGGTAATCTACGCACACTGCACACATGAAATGTGTGTGAAACATGAGAACAAATTAATGCCGCCCTCCTCCTACCTCCCCCCCCGCATTTTCGGGAACGGATTATATTTTAAAAATGAAATCCCCTTCCCCACCACCCAGAATATAACCCGTGAAGATCCGGGTTAGAACTGATCTTCAGCAACCCATCAGTTACTGAATTTTCTGGCCCAGATTCGATTATTTACAGATTGCCGTCATATGGCTTGAAAATTGCTGAGTGCGGTGTTTATACGTAATAGAGTATGAAGTCACTCAACTTTTGCGCTTAATCTGAGATCAGAGCAGATTGGCCTACTGCAAGCCTTTCAGTGTGCTTCACATATTATTTGCACAATTATATAGATATGCTGCTACAACTGCGACAGTGATGCGCATAAGAATACATCTCAACACATCAAAGTTGCCGTATCGCTATATCGGGGCTCCACGACAGCACGTGGAGCCTTACAACCAATCCAAACAAAGGATAAATACGCGAATTCCAAACGTTCTTCACGTTTAAGGATGTTTTCTCAATGAAAGTTTAACATTTCATCTTCATCTAAATATTTAGACTCGTCAACAATGAAACCGATAAATAACATAAGTTTATGCAATATCTTGAATGGACTGTGTACGATGTGGCCAATCGTCACATCTCGCTGGTCTGTGATTGAAGGACTATGCTGGCCGCAAGAATTTCTGGGTAGGAGAGTGAGAAGAGTGCTCATTGGTCTAAGCACCTGCTGGCTTCCTTTTCGCTTGATTTATCAGTTACAAACAGAGACTGCATCAGTTACAAACAGCGACTGCATCAGTTCCAAACATAGACTGCATCAGTTACAAACATAGACTACATCAGTTCCAAACATAGACTACATCAGTTACAAACATAGACTACATCAGTTACAAACAGCGACTACATCAGTTCCAAACATAGACTACATCAGTTACAAACAGCGACTACATCAGTTACAAACAGCGACTACATCAGTTACAAACAGCGACTGCATCCGTTACAAACAGCGACTGCATCAGTTACAAACAGCGACTGCATCAGTTACAAACATAGACTGCATCAGTTACAAACATAGACTGCATCAGTTACAAACAGCGACTACATCAGTTACAAACAGCGACTACATTAGTTACAAACAGCGACTACATCAGTTCCAAACATAGACTGCATCAGTTACAAACATAGACTACATCAGTTACAAACAGCGACTACATCAGTTCCAAACATAGACTACATCAGTTACAAACAGCGACTGCATCAGTTACAAACATAGACTACATCAGTTACAAACATAGACTACATCAGTTACAAACATAGACTACATCAGTTACAAACAGCGACTGCATCAGTTACAAACATAGACTACATCAGTTACAAACAGCGACTACATCAGTTACAAACATAGACTACATCAGTTACAAACAGCGACTGCATCAGTTACAAACATAGACTACATCAGTTACAAACAGCGACTGCATCAGTTACAAACATAGACTACATCAGTTACAAACATAGACTACATCAGTTACAAACATAGACTACATCAGTTACAAACAGCGACTGCATCAGTTCCAAGCATAGACTGCATCAGTTACAAACATAGACTGCATCAGTTACAAACATAGACTACATCAGTTACAAACATAGACTACATCAGTTACAAACATAGACTGCATCAGTTACAAACATAGACTTCATCAGTTACAAACAGCGACTGCATCAGTTCCAAGCATAGACTGCATCAGTTACAAACATAGACTACATCAGTTACAAACATAGACTGCATCAGTTACAAACATAGACTACATCAGTTACAAACAGCGACTACATCAGTTACAAACATAGACTACATCAGTTCCAAACATAGACTACATCAGTTACAAACAGCGACTGCATTAGTCGCTATATGGCTGAAATAATGCCGATGCGACGTTACATTTTAACTCGCTCACTCACAAACAGCGACTGAACCGCCGTATTCACGGGCGGTGGAGGAACGTCGCGTATATAAACCCGTGATGGTTTGGCGATAGATCAATACAATAAATTTACTAAATATACGTATTGGATTATTTTCAGCAACAAGAAAAGCTTGCAAAGGAATCTACATGTTCACAGAAAAATTCTGCCGTCTCAGTCTAAGTTACGACACGAAAATATGCGGAGGAGAAGCGAAAGTTGTTATGAAGTATATCGACTATGCCCACAAGGGTGGTGAGTTTTTAACTCACGTAAAAACTATCCGGTCTAAATCGTTAATAATAGTCGGTATTGGCATTCATAACGATTTTGACATCAACCTTATTGACAAACAATATTTTGGTCCTGTACTGCGTGAGATTACGCATCGAAATGCCACACAGCCACTGTTGCTATGGGCCAACATCCACGCGCCAGGGATGTTCAAATCCCCTGTGATGAAGGGGCAGATTCGTAGTGACTTTGTACGTTTTAACACTAACATGGCCAAGTTTATGGGTGATAGAAATATTTCCGTATTTGAAACGTTTAATCTGACTGACGGCATGTCCAGCTTTGATGGAACACATTACGGAATGGGTATCAATGTTGTAAAGTCAAATATACTGTTGCATTACATTGCAGAATTGAGACATAAAAACATGTGGTAAATCATACATTTATTAGTATATGTTATGTATGTCCATTTTTTAGCTCACCTGGCCTGAAAGGCAATGTACGCTTTTTACGTCAAACGTCATCGGGGCATCTTGGTCGGAATGTCCAGCTTTGATGGAACCCATTACGGAATGTGTATCAATGTTGTAAAGTCAAATATACTGTTGCATTACATTGCAGAATTGAGACATAAAAACATGTGGTAAATCATACATTTATTAGTATATGTTATGTATGTCCATTTTTTAGCTCACCTGGCCTGAAAGGCAATGTACGCTTTTTACGTCAAACGTCATCGGGGCATCTTGGTCGGAATGTCCAGCTTTGATGGAACCCATTTCGGAATGTGTATCAATGTTGTAAAGTCAAATATACTGTTGCATTACATTGCAGAATTGAGACATAAAAACATATGGTAAATCATATATTTATTAGTATATGTTATGTATGTCCATTTTTTAGCTCAACTGGCCTGAAAGGCAATGTACGCTGTTTACGTCAAACGTCATCGGGGCATCTTGGTCGGAATGTCCAGCTTTGATGGAACCCATTACGGAATGTGTATCAATGTTGTAAAGTCAAATATACTGTTGCATTACATTGCAGAATTGAGACATAAAAACATATGGTAAATCATATATTTATTAGTATATGTTATGTATGTCCATTTTTTAGCTCAACTGGCCTGAAAGGCAATGTACGCTGTTTACGTCAAACGTCATCGGGGCATCTTGGTCGGAATGTCCAGCTTTGATGGAATCCATTACGGAATGTGTATCAATGTTGTAAAGTCAAATATACTGTTGCATTACATTGCAGAATTGAGACATAAAAACATGTGGTAAATCATACATTTATTAGTATATGTTATGTATGTCCATTTTTTAGCTCACCTGGCCTGAAAGGCAATGTACGCTGTTTACGTCAAACGTCATCGGGGCATCTTGGTCGGAATGTCCAGCTTTGATGGAACACATTACGGAATGTGTATCAATGTTGTAAAGTCAAATATACTGTTGCATTACATTGCAGAATCGAGACATAAAAAACATGTGGTAAATCATATATTTATTAGTAAATGTTATTCATGTCCCCTTTTTAGCTCACCTGGCCTGAAAGGCAATGTACGCTGTTTACGTCAAACGTCATCGGGGCATCTTGGTCGGAATGTCCAGCTTTGATGGAACCCATTACGGAATGTGTATCAATGTTGTAAAGTCAAATATACTGTTGCATTACATTGCAGAATTGAGACATAAAAACATATGGTAAATCATATATTTATTAGTATATGTTATGTATGTCCATTTTTTAGCTCAACTGGCCTGAAAGGCAATGTACGCTGTTTACGTCAAACGTCTTCGGGGCATCTTGGTCGGAATGTCCAGCTTTGATGGAACCCATTACGGAATGTGTATCAATGTTGTAAAGTCAAATATACTGTTGCATTACATTGCAGAATTGAGACATAAAAACATATGGTAAATCATATATTTATTAGTATATGTTATGTATGTCCATTTTTTAGCTCAACTGGCCTGAAAGGCAATGTACGCTGTTTACGTCAAACGTCATCGGGGCATCTTGGTCGGAATGTCCAGCTTTGATGGAATCCATTACGGAATGTGTATCAATGTTGTAAAGTCAAATATACTGTTGCATTACATTGCAGAATTGAGACATAAAAACATGTGGTAAATCATACATTTATTAGTATATGTTATGTATGTCCATTTTTTAGCTCACCTGGCCTGAAAGGCAATGTACGCTGTTTACGTCAAACGTCATCGGGGCATCTTGGTCGGAATGTCCAGCTTTGATGGAACACATTACGGAATGTGTATCAATGTTGTAAAGTCAAATATACTGTTGCATTACATTGCAGAATCGAGACATAAAAAACATGTGGTAAATCATATATTTATTAGTAAATGTTATTCATGTCCCCTTTTTAGCTCACCTGGCCTGAAAGGCAATGTACGCTGTTTACGTCAAACGTCATCGGGGCATCTTGGTCGGAATGTCCAGCTTTGATGGAACCCATTACGGAATGTGTATCAATGTTGTAAAGTCAAATATACTGTTGCATTACATTGCAGAATTGAGACATAAAAACATATGGTAAATCATATATTTATTAGTATATGTTATGTATGTCAATTTTTTAGCTCAACTGGCCTGAAAGGCAATGTACGCTGTTTACGTCAAACGTCATCGGGGCATCTTGGTCGGAATGTCCAGCTTTGATGGAACCCATTTCGGAATGTGTATCAATGTTGTAAAGTCAAATATACTGTTGCATTACATTGCAGAATTGAGACATAAAAACATGTGGTAAATCATACATTTATTAGTATATGTTATGTATGTCCATTTTTTAGCTCACCTGGCCTGAAAGGCAATGTACGCTGTTTACGTCAAACGTCATCGGGGCATCTTGGTCGGAATGTCCAGCTTTGATGGAACACATTACGGAATGTGTATCAATGTTGTAAAGTCAAATATACTGTTGCATTACATTGCAGAATCGAGACATAAAAAACATGTGGTAAATCATATATTTATTAGTAAATGTTATTCATGTCCCCTTTTTAGCTCACCTGGCCTGAAAGGCAATGTACGCTGTTTACGTCAAACGTCATCGGGCCATCTTGGTCGGAATGTCCAGCTTTGATGGAACACATTACGGAATGTGTATCAATGTTGTAAAGTCAAATATACTGTTGCATTACATTGCAGAATCGAGACATAAAAAACATGTGGTAAATCATATATTTATTAGTAAATGTTATTCATGTCCCCTTTTTAGCTCACCTGGCCTGAAAGGCAATGTACGCTGTTTACGTCAAACGTCTTCGGGGTACTTGGTCAGAAATCAAATATGGCTATCAGGAACCATGTTTGAAAAAAAAATAAATCATGCACCATCCGTCCTAAACACCGCCAAAGAAGCTCCTGGTCCCTTGAAGCTGAAACATCACATACTTGTTGTTTCCATTATGCACATAACTTGAACGCCCACAAAGTCGGTAGTCATTCAACGGAGAATAGCAGCAAACACAGTTCATAGGACCTGCCAATCAAGGCAAGGGACGAGAACTGCAACGCGAGTTAGAAATGAAACCCGAAGGCGGGAGAGTCTGCACGTTTCCTGTTTCATTCCTGCTCGGTCTTCGACCTCGAAGGAGGGTTGAGACGATAAATATGCATGAATGTCGCTAAGTGTCCTGTACAAGATGATATAGGTGAGAAGAAAGGGAATTCCATCGACTGTAATAGGGATTCCCTGACATTCCGTTGTTGTGAAAGTAATTGGCTTCGGTGGGCGTGTCAATTTTTTTTAAATTCTAAGGAAATGAATGCAATATCACGTGACGAATTCAGCAAATCAGAATGAAGGTATTACAATGAACACAACGAAAAATTTAATTATTTGGATATCAATGCTGATAGGAACTTTTGTAAAGTGGATGTCATTGTTTACATGTTGACTACATTCATACTGGTGAGCTACAGTGTATGCCGTGGCACTATTTTTTATATATTGAAGCATCCATTTGCATTACCGTGTCCCACAGGAACTCTGTGATAGCGTGTGTAGCATAATGTATTCGTATAGAAAAACATAACACCCCTCTACATACATATCGACAAGGAGTGACGTCCTTATTCAAGATTTCGCACTCGGTTCGAATCACAGCTCGATATCGCATAAAATATGAATGTCACTTATTACAGCCTATTAGTACTTGCTAAACAAACCATAGGCTTCACAATCATGTTCATCTGTGGTCACCTTACCTCGTATTTATTTTAACCCTAAGCTTCGCCGCCGAGGTAAACAAGAAAAAAGGTGGCCGCAAATTACGGCGCTATACGGGCTTGAACTCAGCAAACGTTTCCGATTGGCTAAAATAAACAAAAAAATAGTGGCTCTAAATATTAGCACACGGTGAAGGGAGGGAAATTCAAAACCGTCAATGGTAAACCTGCTTGCAAAATGTTTGGATTGAGAAGGAAAACTACAACATAATTAAACATTTCGAAGCAGATTTATCATTGACAGTCTTGAATTTCCCTCCCTACACCATGTGTTAATAGTATGATACAAATTTTAACCAATCAGAAAAGAGTTCTGAGTTCAAGCCCGTGTAGCGCCGTAATTTCCGGCCTTCTTTTTCTTTTGTCACTCCTTGTCTACGTGTGCCCGAAGTGATGCAGGTCTCCGATGTTTACTAAGACAAGACAATTTATTCAATATAGAGGTCAATGGCCCAAAATACAGATATCTAAAGGTTTCTTAGCGCTAACACACACACACACACACACACACACACACACGTATATAGGAGAATGGTTAATAGTAGATTTCTTCCAGGTTGTCAAATATTGAGACATATACACACATATAACACAGACACCCATATCGTATGTAGAAATTCTTGGAAAATAGGTATATTAAGTGGCATTGAACATATTTTTATATATTTCTTTGCACATTAAATGGGTATAAACAGAGATCACTTATTCTTTGCGTATATTGAGTGTTCATAATATTTATGAATATGTTTACATACACAAGCAAATGGTATGGTATATTAGTGTATCTTCCTGTTTCTGTCATAAATCTAAAACTGCGAAATCTGTCAAATGTGAAGGAATAACAATGCACAGATACGTTTCCACATGTAAAATAGAGAATCTCACCCGAGTGACTTTCGATATCAAATATATCAACACGAGTTGATAAAAGTGGGAAAACTCCGAGGCTCGCCGAGGATTTTTTCCACTTTTATCAAACATATTTAATCCAGCTTGATTGTCTATGTGTACCAAACTTGCTGTTACCATTTACCTGGTCACTGTCGTCATAACATTCATACGGAGACTGGATGTTAAAAGAGCAATATAATGGAAAGTGGTTTGATTCATCACATGTACCAATGCCAAAGTTTGAGATATGTGGGAAGAGTGAGGAGGAGACAATCATATAATCCACAAGACTTGTTCCATTGTGGGTCACACATGTAAACTGACCTTGCTTATCTTCAAACAGTCTACCATTCATAGCATGAATACCCAATGTTCTACATATTTCAGCAAACCTTTTGCCATACTCATTATGAACAAGGTTATCTCTGCTTGTTTCTGGTAGGTCAAGGTCATCCGAGGTAGTCATCAATATCCTTATCAATAAAATTAATATTGTCATCTGGTATAAAGTCTAGAAAATCTTTCATTCCAGCATTTAGATCACCCGCTAGAAATATGTGTTTGTCGGGATGGTCAGTCTTAATAATATTTATATGAAGTTCAAGAGCAGTGTTTACCACTTAGGTGAAACCCATGAGCACGGGTATGGTGCTGACAAACCTAGAAACATAATTGGGGCGAACCTTGATCCGGACCAACAATCGTCGGTGCCCAAGGGACGCAACACTGCACAGCGAATTGCGGCGCCTTAGACGACTGAACCGCCCGTGTCCCTTTATAACATACAATAAGATAAAAAAGGAACATGATCCCAGTTTTTTGTGGCCTTATAGAATATATGTAAATACCAGGGTCCTCTATATGGGGTTATTATTGACTGGAACATCTCAGGAAATCACACGGACGAGCAAAAGAACTGTCATAACAAATATTATAATTAATAAACTGACGAAAAAAATAAATAAAAACGAACAAACCCTTTCCATAATCATAATAATAATGTGCAAAAAAGTAGAGTCAATTGAACGATTCCGACTAAATCATAAGTATATGTTTATAAATCACAAACAAATAGTGATGGTACCAGGTGTTCGCGTATCCTGCCCCACCGGTTGCACAAGACACAAACACATGTAAAGGCAAGTCAAATATCCACCTGAACAAACACGGGGACACATGGGACAAGTCAAAATAGGGAATTGCTTCTGACATCATTCTGGTCACTGATGAGTCAGTTATGGTGTCGTTTGTTTTGCTCTTTTTTTTGGTTTAAAGCCTAACTCTGCAATATTCCAGCTGTATCATTATATCACAGCCGTTTCTTAATCTTCGAGCCTGGAAGAGACAATTCTCATTTCTCGGTGAATAAGAACACTGGACATAATAACACTGTGAACAGCACTGGTGCAGTTGTGGAAGATCCACTTGTCTGAGACACTTTCTGACATCGCTCTCCACTCATCTGGCGTTAATGGACACTGCATTGTGTACAGAATAATATATATTCTGGGTTCTTTACGCCCTTGCGGCGCAACCTGCCCACCATTACCAAATTACCGCATATGCACAGAATAATATATATTACCTAATTAAGAATTTACATACAAATAAATAATTATTGTTTATTCATAACTCCTCTCCAAACCCCTCGACGATGGCGTTCCTAGTTATGTGATGTGTTCGTACTACATATGTACTACACGAGTTTATACCCAGTGCAATATTTCACACAACCTGATAACCTAGCGGGCAAAAGAAACGCCACCAAATAAATAATGGTCGTCAGTTTTCAACAAATTTGCCAAACAGCAAGAAAACAGTTGGGAACACATAGCTGGAATGCAACTTACCTATTCCCTGTGAACATGTGCACGTGCTTCACTTGATTTGCTAAAACAAAATGCAAAATGTGGACAAAATTACCCGTATGAAATTATGGTACAAAACATGAGCAGGATTGTACTCTCTCATCACATGAAAGCGTTTAAAACAACGAACATGCCTCGACTAACCGCAGAGCAGAGGGAGAGAGCCATCGGTATGTTTCAAATGGGAGCGACGCAGGAGCACGATGCAAGGTTCATGGTCTGCTTCAAGTGCACCATTGCCAGACTTGTCACACGTCACAGGCAAACTGGCAGGACTGAGTGGAAGACCAAAGGTCACGACCCCACCGGAAGGATGACCGGTATTAAGGTCCATATTCCTAACTGTGACGTCATCGTCCGCAAACAAGCTTGGACATCCAGTAAGCAGAAGGACCGTTGCTAGACTACTCCGCTTGTATGGTCCCCGTCTATCGACCTTTCAAGGGCATGACGTTAACGTTTCTACGCCGACGTCACAGGCTAAGATGGACCAAGGCCCCGTTCCACAAAGTGATCTTTGCGCTAAGTTGATCGTAACTCCCATTCTTTACACTGACTAACGCTAAGATCGCTTTGTGGAACGGGGCCCAGGACTGTACAGCAGTGGCAGCAGAGAAATTGGGGAAGAGTGCTCTTCAGCGACGAGAGTAGGTACCAGCTCTTCAAGTCTGATGGGCGGGTTCGAATCTACCGACGACGTGGTGAACGGAAGTGGAGCCTTATGGAGGTGGTAGTGTCATGGTCTGGGTGGCATCTGCGGGGTCCAGAAGACAGATCACTACTTGATAAGCATATTCTGAACATATTTTATATTATGCTCTTATTTACGATGTCCGGAGTACAGTTCTCTTTTTGTATACACCGTGCAAATCAGAAAATTAGTCCTTGAGGAAAAAAAGGACTACACATGCATGGTTAAATAATGTCAGCTAATGACCAGAAACGGCCAGATGTATCAATAAACTACATAAAGACGATTTTGAATTATATATAATAGCTGGAAAAGGATAGCATCAACATTTCACGCATATGATTTTTATGTTTCGTGTCGGTAACAGCGTGGCTTGAAATTTCAAATAAACCAACATGTCGACATACGTGCTATAAAATTAACCTTTCCCGTATACTTCCCCGCCTACAGGGCGGGGACATTGAGCTTGTGCTATGTCACGTTACTTTCACTGACTCGGAAAACGCCTGAGGTT